TTTCCGAGATGGCAGAAAGCAATAAATTAAAATAAAATAGAGAAATAGATATGCCGATGTAAAATCGAAAATAGAATAAAAAGAAATTAAATGAGATCAGTTGATGTAATAGATTAATCCAAAAGTGTTCGCTAATTTTTGCAGAAAAAAAAAGATTTGTATATATATTTTTTCACGATTATTTTTATAAAGAATTTCTTCTTTGTTAAATTCGTATAATACTTCTTTATCCAGTAAGCCATTAATTAAACATAATAATAATAATAATAATAATAATAATAATAATAATAATAATGCAATCGAAATCTCCAAAACATCAACAATACCTGTTGTAGTTGGAGCCCTCAGATTGGTTGGAAAAGATTCCAGTAAAATCATAAAAAGGATTCCTGGAAGCCCATGCCTTAAAGAAATACAAAAAAATACTTCTCTGGAGTACAGCTCGAACCTAACGAAGGGCTTTATCAATGAAAAATATGTGTGTGTGTGAGTGTGTGTGTGTGTGTGTGTGTGTGTGTTTTAATTGGTCAGTGGAAAATATCATGATGCCATTTCTAACCTTAGGTCTCTAAGCGAAACCCGGAAAGAAATGTGTGTACAGCAGAAACCAAAGGTAATAAGATAATAATAATAATAAACACGTCACTTTATCGCGCACATTTGGCTGTGATGCGTGTAGCTGGTATACATGTATTATGTTAAGAAACTTCCTATCTACACTTTCTTCCTTTTTATTATGTACAAGGTTTTCCATTTCGCTGAAGAAGACATTAAACACATCAAAGTATTATGGCTTCTAGAAACACAGACAGACACGCGCGAGCGCGCGCGCACACACACACACACACACATATATATATATATATGTATAAGTGAATATTGAAGTCAACACTTAGAGGCGACAGTCTTTTTCATGCTAGACGCAATCGTCAGGCCAGTATGAAAGAGACTGTCGCCTCTAAGTATTGACTGCTATGTTCACTTTTATATTTACAAACACTCTGATATTGAGCACGTTATCCCATAAAATATAGCACACCTTAAGAGTATATTTCTTCATATATATATATATATATATATATATATATAAACTAAAGAAAAAACAGCGATGTTGCTGTGGCTATGAGACAACATGCAAGATCTAACATCTTGGACAAAAAAAAAAATCCCCATAAATAAAAGAATAAAATAGACAAAGACTAAAAGGCGACGATGTAAAGTGCTTAACGCCCAGATTATATCAGAGCGCGAATAGTAACGACTCGAACTGTCCTTTAGCACACACACACACAGACACACACAGACACACACACACACACACACACACACACACACACACATATATATATATAAACATACCACGTACTGTCGGCGTGGGGGTATTATGTATATTTATTAATACATAATTAGTAGCTCTGTTATTTAGCACTGAGCACTTTTTTACAACAAATGATATATATATATATATATATATATATATATATATATTTGTATTTGAACACTTAGACGTTCATTTATTCAGATTTATCCATTCGAGTATTTTTACGAGCAAGGCGGGAAGCCACTAGGATGCAGGGGGTTGTAGAAGATTTGGAGCAAGAGCAGATAGGAGTGACAGAAGAAAGGATGAGGAGAAGGATAGTGGATAGATCAAGGTAACTGGAGATGTCGATTGACATTGCATTTGAATAGTTGGAGATTATAGCTCTAGGGAAACAGTAATAGGGAAGGGTGTTCCACAGGCGAGAGGTGCGATGTATGAAGCTATTGGAGTAGAAGAAACGGCTACATTTAAAAGTTTCTACAGTGAAAGGGTGAGAGCTGGATGCCAGCCTCGTAGGACGCTTGAATTCATGAAGTCTGGGAACCAGTGAAAGCAGCTCATCGGAGCAATTACCATGAAAGTATTTGTAAAAAAGACAGAGGGAGGCGACGGCGCGTCTCTCAGAGAGCAACTGTAGACGACATACCAGATCAGGGCCAATTATAGATATGCAATTTTTTTATATATATATATGCGCGGTACTTATTGGAAAGCGCTCAATATCAGGGCTAACATATTTAGTTGGATTGATGTAAGTTTTGTGACAATGGGTTTCACGCTATTTGCGATCGTCAGACAATCTGATTAATTTTTAAGTTTTGGATTTATATATGGTTGCGTATATCGTTGTTTTTATGGAAGTGGGAGGAAAAATTGTCGTCGGAACGCCACTCATACGTACGCAAACATACACACACGCATTGCAGCTCACACAAAGAAACATATTTGAACGGCGTGGGACTGCGCGTATATACCCATGTGTCGTTGCGTACATACGTACGTAATTGGTCCCTGTATTCCATGTTAAATTGTGTAGCGAACTTTCGCAAGTCGCAATGTTAACGCGCAGACCATTCGTCTATTTTGTTCTCGGAATAATGTTTTCTCGCACACACATATATACGTATACACGCGTGTTCGCACATCTCTACTATCCGTCTATTTTTTTTTAAGATAGGGGGGTCTGTGTAAGACTATGGTAGGTAAAATTGTTACTATTTTTAATTTTTAATTTTTTTTAATACTGTTCTCTTATTATTTTACAGCCGGTTATTTTCTTGTTTGTGGCGATTGCGCTTATGTAAATGGTAGAAACTCCTATTTATAATACTTATTAGCGGTGGTATTCATTTTATATTAGTTTCATTAAGGACGACTGACAAGGTACTACAATTCAACTTTTTATTCAATTTATCTTGCTTTATATATATATTTTCATTTCTAGATTAAATATGTAAACACTGTTCAAATATTCTATATATCCGAACGCTTATAGCTATTCTACTGGCCATTATCAAGGATGTTTTTAACTGAATATATATATATATATATATATATATATATATATATATATATATATAATAATAATAATAATAATAATAATAATAATAATAAAAAAGGCTTAAACACTAATAATGATTAGTAATACGATTCCAATGGAATAAATTATGACCATGGAATATTAGTGTTTAAGCCTTTTATTATATCCTACTCTGTCCTAGACATTGAGTTCTACCTGGATTCTATCCTCTTGGAATTTTTTATTTAAAAAAATATATATGTATGTATATGCATGTATGTATATATATTTATATATTTTGCATATATATGTATATTTACCACTAATATTATATATATATATATATATATATATATATATATATATATATATATATATATATATATATATATAGTGATGGAGTCTATTATTTTTTTATTATTTTATCATTATTTTTATAAAAAAAGTTTCTCGTTGCCCTATCATTATTTCCATGGGAAGTGTTCAGACGAACAACATTCCTCAGTTTTATCAGTTCTCACCTTCACGGCTAAGGCTCTTCATGCTAAGCTCATTTTAACAAACCAACCTCTTTCTCTTCGTATTCCATTGGTGAGATGTTCTTCATAAGAATCGCTGTTTTGTGGAACCGAGTCCCAAGGGAATGCTTACCCGATCACTACAGTCTTAACCTATTCAAGTCTACCGTTTTTTCCGCACATATTCGCATTAACTGTGCTGATAACCCTCTACCTCGAGTGGTGCTCAGGCCTTGCACATTGTGAACATTATTGTAAAAAATGATCTGGTATTAGGTAACAGTACCCGACTTTTATCACCAAGTCCTACTGTTTTCTTACCATATTAATATTAGTTGTAATAGCCCCAGTATTAGTTGTAATAAATTGTGTTAGTTATAATAGTCCGAGTATACGTTGTAATATTAGTTGTAATAGTCCACGTATTACTTGTAATAAGTTGTAATATTTGTTGTAATAGTCCGAGTATTACTTGTAATACGTTGTAATATTAGTTGTAATAGTCCACGTATTAGTTGTAATCGTCCGAGTGTTACTTGTAATAAGTTGTAATATTAGTTCTAATAGTCCGAGTATTAGTTGTAATAAGTTGTGATAATTGTTGTAATAGCCTGAATATTACATGTAATAAGTTGCAGTATTAGTTGTAATAGTCCAAGTATAAGTTGTCATAAGTTGTAATATAAGTTGTAATAGTCCGAACAGTAATAAGTTCTAGTATTGGTTTTAATAACCCGAGTATTAATTGCAATAAGTTGTACTATTAGTTGTAATAGTACGTATATTAGTTGTTAGAAGTTGTATTAGTTGTAATAGTATGATTATTACTAGTAATAGTACGAGTTTTAAGATCAAACATTCTCATCACTAACTTTTACTAACCTACCTTTCATTTTGTTGTATTGCTTAAGCACAACTAATGTTATAAGATATACTAATTGAATTTTTTCTGAATTTCGAAGATCGAGAATTATTCTTAGAAAGCAATAATTCACAGCTGCCATAGTTACAAAGCAATATGTAAGTAACTTCCGTTTACTTCTTTTGAAGGCTCACACTTTGTGTATAGTGTCATATTTGCACCATCATGGCTAATGGGAAATTATTTCTCCCAATCTCCTGTCAAAGGTACAACGTGCTGAGAAATATCGGGTCTTAAAACCAGTAGCTAGTCATGCACTTAGCTTAAATAGCAAATGTCCTATCTTTCGTAATGGAACAGCAAATCACCAGCCAGCGCACTGCCTTATGGTCGACTGCATATGTAAAATCCGCCTCTGTCGAGTGGAAAGATAACAGTAAATAATACAAAATAAAAACAACGGTCGTTGGAATACGGTTAACAGAATACATTAAGTTCTACCTTCAAATTCTGACACTAATCTATGAAGATAAAGATGTTGAATCAACACTCGTGGACAAACCGGAAGATGTTACTCCATCTTAAACATACTGCGTCTCTTTTCCGGGAAGTTGTCCGGCGTTCAATATCCAACATTACCGAACCTGAGTAGTGAAGCTGTTGATCGACGAATTTATTCAAGTATGTCGTCAGAGAGCGAACCAATCATCAGTATCGTATTGGCTTCTTCCTTTCTTTGATTTTCTTTTTTTCTTTGTTTAATTATTTTCTTTCTAGGTTTTGCTTGCAGTTCATTTTTCTTTTTTTCTTTCTTTCTTTCTAGATTTTGTGAGAGGTAGCACCATTTATTATTTCTTTTTTTTTCTCCTTTGTTTCTTTCTTTCTTTCTAGATTTTGCTGGAGGCATCTTTCTTTCTTTCTTTCTTTCTAGATTTTGATGAAAGATGCTTTTTTGTTTCTTTGTTTGTAGATTTTTCTGGAGGTTGCTCCTTTTTTTCTTTCATTCTAGATTTTGGTGTATGTTGCATCTTTCTTTTATTGGATGCTGCTTCTCTCTTTCGTTCTTTATTGATGGAGTCTGATTTTCTATCTATCTATCTATCTATCTATCTTTTTTCTTTCTTTCTTTTTTCTTACTAAATTTTGAAAATGTTTCTATTTTTTGGGGGAGTGGGCATTTTTCTTTATTTTGCTGTTTATCTCATTTCGTTCTTTTTATTTCTAAGTTTTGCCGGCTGTTGCTTTTTCTTTCTTTATTTCGTTTAGTTTTTACTAGAGGGTTCCTTTTTTCTTTCCTTTTTTTCTTTCATTCTAGATCTTATTGCAGGCTGCTTTTTTCTTTCTTTTTTGATAGAGAATTGTTTTCTTTTTTTTTTAGATTTTGGTGGAGGTTGCTTTTTTTTACTTCTTTCTTTCTTTCTTGATTTTGCAGGGGTGTTTTATTTCATTCATTCATTATAAAAGAATTTATGTTTCTTTCTTTATTTCTTTCTAGATTATATTCGTTTTCAACTTTTATACTTTATTTCTCTTTCGTGACGAACATCCACACCGAAAATAATCGGTGCAGGTGAGCCGGAGAATCGAACCCAGGACTGACTCTGATGTTCCTGTTCAGATGATCACATTCGATGACTAGATGAATAAATGTGCTATCCGTCAAGAAAGCATTCACCTATCCAGATGACTTTACTGCGACTACGTTGTGAGGAAAACTACACTTTGGGATCATAATATGCAATCAATAGGAAATGATTATATAAAGCTTATTGCAACATGGTAGCTAAAGGGAGGTACAAAGGGAGGTACAAAGTTTCCTCTGAGACGTGCTTATAAAAGCGAATCGAGAAAAAAATCTTGGATCTATGATCAGTCAGAAAGTTGAGCAGAAATCTGATCTGGAAGTTTTTAATGTATAATAGAATTAATTTAATATTTTTTTGGAAATCAAAAACAGAAGTTTAGAGATTCATATCTCTCAGATTGTAGGATAAATGCTAAAAAACCAACAATGACTCCAACCCCACAAAATGATGATTTGTTTGTGTTGTCATTACAAACAAGATGCATACTTAGGCAAGTGTCAATCAGCCTACGTTCCGTGGGACGCGCTTGATATGGCAACGCTATATCAAACGATAATGCACGATAATTTTAACGGGTCAGTTACTTTCGTTTTAACTGAGGAAACGTAAAGATCTTTTTCTTACTACTTAAGACCATTAGCGAAAGGACATAACTTCCGCTATTCAGGCGCGTAATATAAATAAAGGAAGTAAAAATATGGGAAGGAAAAAGAATACATTCAGCTGAGAAAAGAAGAAAGTCCATAAAAAGGTAAAGAAAAAAAAAGAGACATGAAGAAAAAGAACATTAAAAGTAAGAGACATAACAAGAAAAGAAGAAAAAATGAAAAGAAAAAGAAAAAATTGAGGAAAACTTTAGTTAAGAAAAGAAGAAGAAATCGGGCAAGAAAAGTCAAGAAAAAACGTGAGAAGAACGAACATAAAAGGTATAAGAAATAAAAAGTGGAGAAACTGAACGAAAGAAAAAAGAAAATGAAAAAGAAAAAAAAAATGGAAAAAAGTCATTTAGACAGAAATAGAAGAAGAAAGGGGAAAAGAAGATAAAAAGTAAAAGGAAAAAAAAAGTGAATAAAATGAAAGCAGAAATAAGAAAAGGAAAAATCGTAAGAAACATTTAAGAGAAATAAAAGTGAAGTAAGGACTAAAAATTAAAAGGAAAATTCCAGAGAAAAAAATATGATAAAAAGTAAAATTAAAAAAAAAAAGTAGAAGTAAAATGGCTGAAATAAAGGAAAAGCAAATTCGAAAAAGAAACGGTTGGGAAAAAAAAGGAAAAAGAAAGAACATAAAAATGAAAAAAAAAAAAAAATGGAAAAAGAAGATAAAAGGTCAGAAATAAGAAGAAAGAAAAATGATCGAAGGAAAAATAAAAATGGAAATCCGAAATAAATATTTATTTATTTATTTAAAAAAGTTTTAAAAAAGAAAGAACATGAAGATTAAAGGAGAAAGTATGAAGAAAAAAAAAGGAATAGGAAAGAGAACATGATAGAAAATAAGAAGAAAAAGAAAAGAAAAAAAGAAAAGAAAGAAGTAAGAAATAATAATAGAAGGAGAAATGAGATGAAAAGGGAAAGAAAGTACATAGAAGAAAAAGAAAGAATATGATAAGAAAAATGTAGAATAACAATAATAAAAAGCACGTACCGGCGTAAGAATTCCAACTAGCGTCCAGCTGGCAGACAAAAATAAAGCAGGTTGTAACTTAATACATATCCTGCAAACTGAGAAATCATGCTAGTATTTATATAGTAATACTTCCACTCAGGTACCAGCAGCCAATCAGAGCCCAAGCAATGGACTATCCCACTTTAGCATAATGAGATGCTCCATTGCACCATAAATAGCTCTCCCCTGCTCAACTACTACTCCACCGCCGACTACGTGACTACATACCATCCCACCCAACACTCTATAAGCCACACGCGAATTGGATAACCGCAGCACAAAATCGTGAGATAAGTTTGTCCCGGCGGAACGCTCGTCTCATAGAGCGATACAACAGAACAGCACACACTTTAAACCCCCTTCAAAAAGGACAAATAGTGGCACTACAAAGACCAACAACCCGTCGATGGGACACAACAGGTCAGGTCATTGAAATCCTCCCCAACCACCAATACCGTATCAGAGTTGACGGATCAGGTAGAATTACCTTACGAAATCGCCGATTTCTCAGGAAACTGGATACACCAACAATTCCAGTTCCAAGACCTAGTGCAATAGCTGAGACACCTACACCAGTGCAACAAACAGTCGACGCTGGAATAACATCAAACACTGCTCAGCCGTTTACAATAACACGGACAAAAACACCTCGGGCATTGTCCAGACTACTTCCGCACAACCAGCCAGGTTTAAAGGAACTCATCCCTCCCCAAAAGGCCACTACCCACACGCGATGGGGGGGGGGAGATGTAGAATAACAATAATAAAAAGCACGTACCGGCGTAAGAATTCCAACTAGCGTCCAGCTGGCAGACAAAAAATAAAGCAGGTTGTAACTTAATACATATCCTGCAAACTGAGAAATCATGCTAGTATTTATATAGTAATACTTCCACTCAGGTACCAGCAGCCAATCAGAGCCCAAGCAATGGACTATCCCACTTTAGCATAATGAGATGCTCCATTGCACCATAAATAGCTCTGTCTCTATGTTGAATTAGTCTTCACTCAGCTTGCTCCACAACTGAGTGGTTATCTTGACTACGTGATTGTTCGACAAAAAAGAATGACTTAAAGAAAGAAAATTATAAACAGAGCATTTACTTAAATATTTGTATCTATAAAAATAACGTATAAACAGAAAATATATTGAAACAATTACCGGACATAGTCCATTTCATAATATATGACGTCATTTGTTTACGTTAAGATACACTTCGAGCAGATATAAGCGTTCAAGAGAAATCATGGCAAATTTGTTGCTTAAAAACAGTAATTTGACATTGCTAACCAGGCGATAAATTATATAGCACATCAGGTTATATGACGGTTCCGTGTAGGATACAGGTTCGATTCCTATCGGAGGACATATTTTCTATGAAATTTCTCGGACATTCAGGCCGGTAAATGTTGATAATACTGTTTATAATAAACAGAACATTAACTTAAATATTTGTATCTATAAAAATAACGTATAAATATATTAAAATCACCACCATATAAATAGAACTTAATACAGCTGGAGGCTAAACTAATCCTCAGCTTTTGGCTGCAATTGGTATTCATTGAATATTTGCCAGAACACTAGGGGTCTTAAGGTAGTATCTCTCTCTTGGATCTGGGTTAGATTTATAGCACGGAGCCTCGTGTTCCAAAAATGGGAAGTGCTGATGGGGCTTGGTTTTTTGTGCGATGTAGCCGTGTCGTGAACTATCGAGGAGAGAAACGGGGTTGCATGTATTTTTTGCAACGTTAGAATAAAATCAAGAATGAAATAACTTACCTTCAGCTCGAGCAAAGATTCGAACTGGGTCACGTGTAAACTTATCCAATGCAGAAAGAAATGAAGTCTTCACGGGTTACATATTTAAAATAGCTAGACCCCCGAATAAGATACTCTCCCGCGAAATTATCTTTGCGCCTATGCAAATTTTGGCTGTCAATGAGACATAAAAAACGTAAAGAAGGAGGCAACAAGGAGAAAGGAAAAAAAAATGATGGTTGACGGCTGTGTTGAACTGGCTACACGTGTCGCGGACAGTGTGTGAGAAGAAAATGATTGAAGGCATTGGTTGCCAGGAAAAGTTTAAAGCTTTTTTTGCTACAAGACCCACTTTAAATCTAGACCTTGTGTCACATCCGATTGTGACTTGGGCTAATTGATAGATATCAATGATCTTGACACTGAAGACTAAACTACTAGAGAAATAGTAGTGAACACTTCTAACTAATTATAGTTTACAACAAATCGAACCCGTAAGCCTCGACCGTGGTGATGGAAAGCGGCCGGATGGCATTACCATTTTCCTTTTTAAAATGGGGAAGTCGTTGATTTGGGATGCGACCTGTGCGGATACATTTTCGGCCGGTAATTTGATCAGGTCCGCGCTTGAATTGGGGTCTGTCGCTTGGAACTCTATCTATGAAAGCAGGATGTGTGTTTGTGTAACGAATGCACGGCCGCAATTTTCGACGGATTTGCACCAACATTTACATGCACATGCTCCAAGTTAGCGGGAAGGCCAAGACCGACTTTGTATTTCCCAACTCCCATCGATAGTGGAAATAATCGATTTTTTATGCTTCTACGGCAGTTTTCATGTAGTTTGCGGCCATTTTCTACTGGCCAGAGTGAGAGCCTATAGCTGGCTGCCACGAATAGACAGGAAGATTCTATTGGCCAGCGTGAGAGACAACAACTGACTGACACGAATGTTAACTAGCATGCAAAAAAAATAATCGATAGCTGCAAGTGGGAAAAATTTATATCTGCATGGCACTTTACTCCAATTGGCTCATTCGGTTGCTTAAACTCAACGTTGATTCTGATTCCGCAGAACTGGGTTGGGTTTAAAAAAAGGATTTGTTGTTAACATTCTTTTTTCA